CCAAAAGACGTTAAAAGATGGGAGTTACTGCTACCTTGTTTGGCGTTCAACAATAAGGGATAGAACAACGTCGATCTGGCGCTTCTCAGTGGCTGCCGGGCTCATGATCAATTGGGCAAAAAGAATTTTCGTTTCGGTTTTAATAACATTTGGAGTTGACTGAAAAAGATTATTATTATGTATAGAAAACAAATGATACATAAAAAAGCATGGAATGGTCTCAGAGAATGGGTCACATACACCAGAGCGTGTTTGACCAATCATTTGATAAGAATGCAGGAGTGGGTTGTATAATATGATACATACTTATTCCAATGAAAGAGACCAGGGAAAAAATACACAGGGGTGTGGGGCGAGATAGCTGCCGAAATGCCCAAAAGAGCCCCCGAAAGTCATAAAAGAGCCCCCAAAAATGTGCATAAAGTTCAATGCAAAACAAATTAAGCAAGCTTGAAAAGTACCCCCAAAATTGTTTTAATATTTTTTTCCCTGATAAAGACAGGTATGAAATAAACGCCCCCCCCCCCCTGATGTATGTTGTAGGGACATCAATCAGCCAGGAGGAGGGTGCATGGGAGGGGGGAAAGAACACAAATCAAACATATATATATTGCAAAGGAGGTTTAACAGAGTAAGAAGTTATGCCCTTATAGCCTTCTGACAGCTAGCACCATCAGGCTCCTGTTTCATAAAACTCATTTTCAATAACAAGTTTCAATGACTGTTATGAGCTACTGAAATCCTGGCTTCTGATTGGCTGAGTGCAAATTTATCATAGAAATATATCATTTGTAATTGACAACAAGCTTTATGAAAGAGGGCCCAGGAATACTAAATGAATGTAGAAATAAAAGAGTTAGCAGAGCATTTTGTCATTTTTCGCTGTATAGAAGGCGCAAGTAGCTACAAGTATAGCTACAAGTAGTGCAGTCCCGCTTTAAAGCACAATCTTAACTGTGCAAGGAGACGAGAAGTGCTAGCAATGTTGATAGGAGTGTCACAGCTAGGGTTGACAACTTGACATATGAATTGATAAACCGCTCATTGATTATGAATAACAGAGATGGGTTGAATGGCAATAAGAGTCCAAAGACCAAAGTGCATGCCTCATAAAGCTTTCCTTGATCTGATATCTATTTTTGATCTTACAGCATTTGTGGCTGTCCTGCCATAATATTTTGTATTGTCTGGTATGAGTCAGAAGCATGTTAATGTTAAAGGGATAGTTGAGTTCTGTTTTCAGACCGCAATTGTCTTCAAAGTGCATGGTTATTGCTCTTATTCTTATCTATGACATTTCTAGTGCTCTTTAAGGACCTAAAATTGCTATGAAGGTAATTTTAGACCCCCAAATGTGTGAAATTCAGCCAATACGATCATACCAATTTAGCTCCACTATCAAAAAAATATGGTGAGGGTTAATGAATTAATTACTTAATAATAACAAACATGCGCCGGCTGGTTGGGCTTAATATAACCAGCGAGGTGGGAGGACACCACCTCCCTGATATAACCAACACAAAAAAGTCAACAAAAAAGCCAACATCGGCATTAATTGGCTGAAATACAACGTAAAAGGCGCTAGCTATTTTTGTTTTTTCCAACAGCTTTTCTAATTATTGAATATTTGTGGTGGTATACAAATATTAAAAATAGTTATATTTATGGATATTTCAGCTGTCTCTGAACCGATTTTGATCAAACAAAGATGATTTTGTCATTAAAATTCCATGTTCTTTCAAATTTGACACTCAGTTTGTCATTATCTCACAACAAATTTTGTGTGTGTAGCGCCCTCTGCTACAGAACTCAACTATCCCTTTAAGTCTCTGATAGAGGAAGAGCTCAAAACTATTTTTTTTTTTTGGGGGGGGGGATGCTATTGTTTTTCTTCAAACCATGTTCAGAAACACAGCCCTATATTTCTCAGCAACAATAGGCCCATTTACACAGCCCAAACACGTACCATTTCGAAAAATCATGGATATTTTGACTGTCATTCACACTACTAGAAAAAACGTTTAAAAAAACGTTGGTGTTAGCTCATTACGATTTTTAGTGAGTACAACGTGTGCTCGACTTGACACTACTCTGCATGCAATCACACTCTAGTTAAACTTGCTTAGCGACTATTACCAAAACAGCAGAATGTGAGGAAAGTCTATTATTTTCGCTTGCAGTGTAATTGCAGCTATGAAAGCCCTTCTGCACTAGTTTGGCCAGGAGGGATTAGACCTCCCTGCAAGGTCACTGGCAGGTGGTTATCTCATCAAATCAGCTCTCATTTAACATAAGAACAAGGGGATCATATGGGGACCAACGGGCACTGCTTAGGCATTGTTTGCTCTATAGAGGGCGCAAGTAGCTACATGTACAAATAGTGCAGTCCCACTTTAAGGAAGATTTCCCCCCAGTAACCAATCCATCAGTCTGCTTGGCCGGCTACCCTAATTATTCATTTTTCAACCTTTGATCAGGAACATGTCTCTTGTGTAAATTCCCTAAGCTGTGTCAACAATGTACTTTCAAAATATACATGAAGCGTGCAATAATGGATGTGGCTTTAAACAGAATTTGGGAAGTCGTCACTGCATGTTAGCGTTTCCTGTAACACTCGTAGTCATGCCTAGTGTGTCTGTTGTTTGGAACAGTCGTGTTTCCATGATGTTGGGCCTCATTTGAATATATATTAGTCTCTCTATAGGATTCGTAAGGATGCAATGTTTTTAATCAATCAAGGAATAACTGAGATATTATTCAACAGAAGTTTATCAAACAGAAGTTTGGAAATGGTTTTTACGTGTTAGTATTTCTTGTGACACTGGTAGTCAAATTTGGAACAGTTTTGCTTGTCTATAGCACTGGAAGCTGTAGCGGCCTACTCTACTTGAATATATATCTCTTTCTAATGGATTCCAAAGATGAGACTTTTTTATATACCGGTAAGAGTGGAACAATGGAGGCAGCATTAAAGAGAATGTTTGAAGTGTTTTGTATCATTGTTTCCTGTCATTTTGACACTAGAACTGAGTCAGTGGATTTATTTGTTTGAGAAATTTTGCCTTAACGAAGTAAGGAGCTTAATCATTACACGTACTTATCTTTCTACCTAATGGATTCACAAAGATGATGTTTTTTTTTTTTAATTTTTTTTATTCGAGTGTTGAGTAATGGAGGTACATTTAAATGGAAGTTGTTTTTGTGTGGAAGCATTTCCTGTAACCCTCGCAATTAAACTTGGTGTCTCACTGATTTGAAGCATTTATTGCTGTATATAATTAACACTGAAAGATGCAGAGACCAACTGTACTTTAATATCTTTCTAATGGATTCAAAGAATATTTGTTTTGGTAAAACTGAAACAAGTTATAAGGTGCAGTACACCGTGCAGTTTCACAGTGCACGCACTTTTAAATACACAACTGACGAAAGGTTATGCCTGTGTTGCAGGCGAGAATCTCCAGCCACATTAGTTCTCTAGCCTCACATAGAGTTGTACATTATCAATACTAGTCTCATTTCCCATACTCACTTTGGATTCCCTGTGTTGTAATAATTTTTGTTGTATTTCCGAAAATAACAAAAACAACATGAGACAGTGAAAGAACAAAATGAATCATCAACTTCTGGTTGAAATGCATCATATGTTTATGCTACTCAAAAATTATGTACATGTTCTGTATTCTGAAAAAAATGATATTTTTTGTTATGAAAAATGATATTAATTATCATAACTAACACTTAGCATTGGCTCCTGCACAGAAACATTATCTCTTTCACCTTGGATGCGAATGCAGCCATATTTGGGAAACATTAACCAATGACTTTGCTTAATTTAAATTGTCTAAACAGTTAACAGTGTTTTTCTAAGTTCTAACATATAGGATAACACTGTTTTCAGAATACCACAATGTTTTTGTCTGGAAAATTGACACGGGTAGAGAGATTGTCACCTGTGACACCTGCACACTAGATTCACCTTCCCTGATAGAAACAATTAAACTCATTCCATGAGTTCATGTGAGGCCAAGGGAGATGATTACATCATCACCAATTATGAAGGGTAATCCCCCAGGATTAAGAAATTAGCGTTCATAACGATAGTGAGCAATATAGAGTGGAATGCATTAGTACTTACTTGGTATGTGTAATATAGGTCAAGCCAAGGAGTTACTGGGAAAGAAAGAGAAAGAATTGTTTTTAAGAGAGGTAGAGGGAAATCCTTGGTTAAGCTGAGTGGTTTAGAAGAGGAGTAATGTTAAGTACAATGTTCTGTAAGCTACATGTATACATGTTTATGTACATGTATCTCTTTCCATTCAAAAAGCTGCTATTTCACGAGAAAATAATGGGAACTGTTTCCTGCTGGTTTAACTCATTCACTAATGAATTATCGAATTCCCATAGACTTAACAAAGGGACCACCAGGTTCCCGTAAGCAACGGGTTAATTCAGTCTAAATTTGACCAAAGGATCATCAGCTTAGATATGGTTACAAGGTCATATACAATTTTTATCTCAATGTCCACTGTGTAACCAGAAGATTTCACAATGTGGAACTTGCTAATGTTAACTTAATTAATAGCATTGTTTCTCTTCATCATTATATGCAGGTCTGGTGGGGCTAAATATCAATGAGTAAAGAATTCAAGTCAAGTTTCTCAAAAACCTTTCTCGAGGTGTAAACAGCAGCCATTTTTGTTGCAAGAACTTGCAAATGTAACCATCTGCAATATTTGGGAACTACTGAACTGAAGCTCTGGTTTACAGTTGTGTCTTTGAACTCTTGTATATATTCTGTCTACAGAGGGCCAGAAGGGTGTTAAGTCAGGGATGTACACTTGTACACAGAGTTAACGCCCTTCTGTATGTGAGCAGCCAAATTGTTTAAAGGCCTATCTGTATGCCATGTACATATTCATGCTGAAACTAACTTAAGGCTCTTTAACATGTATTATACATGTGTAATCATTCCGTCTTCTCTTTTTTGTTCATTCCAGGTTTGATTTACGGTTCAAACCGCGGTAGCCGTACTTTCTCTCTGTCGCAGCAGGACCGATTCTCGCGCCTCCGTCCGGGCGTTGATCGCTCTGGTGCCCTCGCCGGCAGGATGTCTGTCATGAACGGGACATTGAGCGATGGACTGGGGAAGGCAAAGGGAGAGGAGCCGATCGTCGGGAGTCTGGACGACTCGTCAGAATGGGACCAGGTAAGTTATTGATAATACCCCTGTCTGATTTGAGGCAGCGAATTGTTTTAACCCATTCATATAGCAGTTCATGTAATTCTTTAGGTCTTATTAAATCACTTATTTTTTACTTTTTTACCTGCTTATAATTAGCCACTACAAAATAAGCCCCAAATATCCACAGATCTTTTACACATGAAGACGTCCCACTCTGTGCATTTTAGAATACTAGTAGTCACTGCCAAAGTGATGGAGGTGCTTCATGAATATACCTGTTCTTTGCCCCCTTGAAAAGAATACTTCATCCTGTATATCATACATAGTACCGCCGATGAGCACTTATTTAGCAGTCATCTCAAAAAGTTTTACAGTTATGTGCAAATGACCTTTATCTACCCATGTGAAGATGGTATCTCTTAATGGCCGATCAGTTTCTATGTGCTATATATATACATGTACACAGTTCATGTTATTGTAATGACTCTGATTCCCGAAAAAATCTTAGAAATTAGTTGATGTCAATATTTGACCAGGTACAGGTACGGTTGTACCATTTCTTAGTAGCACAAACTTCAAAGTTTACATAGTATATTTAATCAGAAGGAAATATAGGACTTTGGTTCTCAAACAAGAAGGAATCTTAATAGTACTATAATTTGTTTTGTTTTGTAGGGAGAAAATCAACCTGTAGCTATACAAAAAAAGTCAAGAGGGAAACGAAAAATCCAATAGCAGTTTCGAAATATGAGTCTAAACATTGTGGATATTACCTGGTAACCGTAAGGTTTCCCTTTCATAGGAAACAATAGTGTAGGATGTCCATAATACTTGTTATTTCTGATTGGTTTATTAATAGATTTGATGATATCATTATTGTGGTATTATATCCTGTAATATTCTATACTGTAATAGTGTAATACCAAAGTTCAGTGGTTTGAATCATATCGGTCCGACAGAGAACATATGGTTCGTTTTAAAGAGGCAACGTCTAGTTCCTCAAAAGTTATGATTGGAGTCCCTCAAGGTTCAATTCTAGGGCCACTCCTATATATTTGAAATATATACCGGTATACAATAATTGGTGAAATGTGTGCTTCCCTGTATAAATATAAAAAATAGTATAAGGTGTGTATCTCTAAAATGATTTGATTATGGATATTACAACTTATGTGTACATTCTTGGATCTTGGATTCTTTTCCTCCTAAATACTCTGAAAAAGAGTTTTGACTGGAGGTTTTGACATTGTATGTGTATGTTAATGTTCTGTCTTGAGGAGCACTTCATTCGGATGAATCATTATGTGTATTTTCAGATCGTTACCTCTTTGTACAAAATTGCCATATTTAGGGCTTGCAAGTTTCGGTTTGATAGTAGGGCACAGAGACATAATTAACTCAATAAAATATCAGGGTCCCGCTCTAGTCTAAACATCATATCGTACAAAATTCATATAACTGGGCGGGGCTTATTGTGATTGGCTAACTGTCATGTCACTTCTTTCTACAATGATCTACATAGTACATGTACAAGTTTTGTATAAATTTCATGTAGTCCAAACGGGCTTCTACTGCAACCAGTAACCTCTGACAGATGGGAGTGATAGTAGAAAGAATATCATCGGTCAATGCTAAAGTCTGTATAAGATGCATATGGAATACTCCCCAGGGAGCGGAACATGTGCACTAACATTTCTTGATTATATCAAAATATTGTAAGCACTAATACTATACACCTTCGTGTATGCATGAACATACCCTCATATTATTATTATTATCATGATTGTTATAACAGTATGTTTCTCTTTATCCGTTTCAGATTGAGAGTATAATGAACTCATTTGGAGCGGGCTTAGTCAGAGAGTCTGTGTATGTTAGAGATTACCAGCACGATTTTGAAAAGATGTTTGACGGTAATTAGAATGGCTTCTATTTCTGTATAAGCAACATGCACTGTTCACATGTACAGTGAACCTGCTTTAATGACCACCTGTCTATAAAGACCACATTTTCTGTTTCCCTTGAACAGTGTTTCTCATTGGAACGTGTTCAGTGGGAACCTGTACTTAAAGACCACCTGCTTCTAAAAACTGGTGTTCTTGAGCGGTCTTTATTTACAGGTTTCACTGCAATTCTGTCTCTTCTCTTCTATATTATCTCTCTCCATGATACCTGTGTTTTGTTTTCATTTAACCAACTACCTGTACCTAGAGTTTAGGAACAAAAGGGTTAGTTTTTGTTTTCTTACTTTATTTTCTATTATTTTCTTTTTTGAGGGAACATGTTCTGTTATTTTTGTAGGGGGTAGTTGTGCTATTGAGGAGTATTTGTTCAGGTAGTTAATAAAGGGGGTTGGGGCATGGGGGTAGTATTCTGGGGAGTAGATTTAGGGGGTGTAAGTTGTGTTGCTGGTAGTTGTCCGAGAGAGATGCATGTAATTGTCAAAGCGGTAGTAGGGGAGGGAGAAGATAGTCCTAAGTTCCTCCTTAAAGCACATTCTTCTGGTGGTAGTTATTTATGCAAGTGGATTAGAATTAGTTCTTATTGTTCATTCCACCCGTCGTGCTCTCGTTCAGCGCCATTTTGTTCTAGTTTTTAATCATTCTAGAAGAGAGTGAAAGCTAAATTTCATCAATATTTTCCCTATCTTCTGCCAGGACCAGGAGGGCCCCAGAGTATCGGTGCATGGTTGGATAGTCTCAATCTAGGCCAGTATGAAAACATGCTCATCGCTAATGGTTTCGATCATCTTGACTTTATTGTGAGTATGACGTTTATCAAGGCATTAATCTACATTTGCCACTCCAAACCCAGGAGAGAAATGGGGACCTGGTAGGATGATGAAATGCTTTGTGTTAGTTATTGCCATATGCCCTCAAAGTGACCCTACGGTAGTAATACTCCCCAGGGAGTGGAGATGGTGCACAATGTGCATAAACGAATCCTATGACCAGGGTAATAATATCTGTAGAGCGCTTAGAAACTGTATTATGTATTAAGGGCTATGTAAATCCAGATTATTGCAACAAGGATAAATCCATTGAATAAAATACCAAGCATGTGACACCTTGGACTGGGAGATGTGTGATCTACCAAAATCAAATTATATCCAATGTGTTCAGGGGCAGATTCAGGATTTTATGCCTGATACTTGCTGACAAGCAAAGTGCCTTTTCTGTTTACCCCAAAAGTTATTGACAAGAAAGAAAAAAAGGGGTGTGCACTGCAAATGGGAGGGGGTGGGGGATGGGGTTGTGGCACGTTTTAATACAGGCTGCGTATTATTCCATGCCCATACTGCGGTAAACTCTGCATAACCCAAAGTCATGCAAGTCAAAATTTGTTAGATTGTAAGATTTTATTGACTCTTTCGACCCCCTCAGGGTATGACATTACAAACATATTTACAACATAGTATAACAATGATAAACATGTGATAATATGAACAATAAACAAATTTACAAAGCAAGCATGACCAAACTATGCAAAACATGAGTTATTTACACTTTCTTCTCCTTGTATCCTATCTCTCCAGGGCGGTGGTATCATTGAAGAGCAAGACCTGATGGACATTGGTATCGTGGAGGAGATTCATCGGAAGATGATCCTAGAAGCTACTAGGTGTCTACCCATCATGAAACCTATAGGTAAGATACTGTACCCTGTGTTAACACGATGACTACTGCATTGTGAAGGTCCCATAGGCTTAACACAGGGACCGCCCGGTTCCCGTAGGCAAAGGGTTAACTCTCTCATTATGTACAGTCTAACCTGCTGTAGTGACCACCTGTCTACAAAGACCACTTTTTGTGTTTTCCTTGGGCGGTCGCTATAGACAGGTTTGACAGTAGCACCCACAGTGAAAAAACAAAACTTGTCAAGTCAGGGCAAGTATGTGCTCTACCAAGGAGTTATAGTAAAGTGTAATTATTGTATAAAGTAAAAGGTGATGTCGATATGTTAAAAAAAACACTGGTAGGCAAATGAATAACTCATATATACTTTCATATATACTACATATACTACACACAGCAAGCACCTTGTTGTAATCTAGTCATACCAACAAAACCTACACACCAGCCTGACACCAGACCAAACATACATTACCACAATGACCACAAAGAGGTCGTTTGGGTTTAGAGTTGGTTTGGCAATGTGACTGAGGTATTTTTATAAACCACCTTAGTACCAACCCATGTCAAGTTTGCTTGTTTCTCCCACAGAGAAAAATTAATTTCAATGCGTCATGAATATGGTTTTGGTTTCCCCTTTCTATTTCCTTTGCAGCAGTACTTTTGATTGTTTTTTATGTGTACATGTACCAAGTTGCCAATTTGCCAATTTGCCAATTTGTGTAGGATCCCTAGTCTACTCGTTGTACATGTATCACACAGGGGATGCATGAATGCAAATAGTGCTCATATGGTGTTAATCTGGATGGTTTTAAGGCCTCTCTGTGGTTAGCCAGAGATTTGGGGAAAGACATTTTTTTTTTTAAGAATATTTTGGCAGTGAGGTCATTCTGTGTCATCAAGCCTTGATGGCATTATCATTATCATAGCTAAATGGCTATTTTAGTTGGTTTCCCTACCATTCATGTGACTGTTTTTTTTTAATTATTTAATTGTAAAGGCCCGTTTAGATGTGAATTGGTAATTAACTGCATCCATAAAATGATGCAGCAAAAAATCAATGCAGAAATGATTGGCAAGAGGTCATGTTAGTGGGGTACAAATGACCCTAACAGCATACTCATAGATCCATAGGATATTGTATTAGGACATAAGGAGTGTTGATCTTGTTGTCGTTGTTGTTGTTGTTATTATTATTTAGTAGCAGCAGCATTGTTTTTTTCAGGGTGCAGGTATTATTTATTAATATTTATATTTATTACAGATTTTTATTTTAATATTAGGGGTGTCCAAAACATATATACGCTTTCTGGAATGCCCACCTATGTTCTCACATCAGTACTAGTGTGCAGTGAATGTCTGAAGATAATGGAATGGACATGAAGTCAATTCTATGTAATGATTTTGATTGAATGTATATGAGGTCCTGGACCAGATTTTACACAAAAGCCTGCCTGTCTCTGATCAGTTGATACATGTTAATGTGTTTAAGTTTTGATATAATTTTTAATGACCTTAAGCAGGAACTTTCATTTTGATCTCTCCTCTCACATACATGTACATGTAGGAAGTTAAAGTAACATTACAAACATCTTGTCTTGTAGTTCTTTCTGTTTTAAATCATGCTATTTTCTATCAAATGATTTGCTCATTTAGGTCCTGGACCAGACTTCACACCCAAGCCTGCCTCTGTCTCAGACTGGTTGAGGAGTCTACTCCTCAGCGACTACATCTCAAACTTCTTAGAGAACAACATCACGACCATGGCTCGAGCCCTGGAACTGTGGGAGTTTGAACTAGAGAATGTAAGCTTCCTTGTTTCAACTTTTCAAGCAGTAGCTTATGGAGTTTTTTTCTTCATCCATTCATAGATTGATATAACAATAGGTTGGATTGCACTCAAAAGAGATAATAATGGGTGTCAATATTTTTATTGTCAATTTGGGCAAAAAACTTTATAAATTGTCTTTGGAATTATGTGTGGGGAGAATATAACAATACAAAATGAATGTCCATTACAATACGTTTGACAAATATAATTGAAAACCCAGGCAGTAACTTTATTCAAACAGTAAGAAAAGTAGTAATAGTAATCATTGGTTAATCCTTGGTGTAATATATGCTCTTAGATACATGTATGTCAGGCATTTTGTTGGTGTTAAAGTTATTCATAATTTCGGGTTTACTTTAGCCCGAGTTAACTAAAATGCTGCTTATGTTACCTGGAATCAAGTGCCTGTACATCATTTTTACAAGAAACTGAAAACTCACAAGTAGAAGTGGGCGTACTATCAGAACCATTAACTGAACCTCTATCCATCACCTTTAATGAGCACTAATTGGATGATCATCTGGTGCTAATGGGAGTTTCCATCCCTTATCTATCAAGAATAACATTTAGTCTTGACATGGGATTCCTAATGTGATGACTGTCCTGGAGATGCTTTGTAGTCTTGGAATTCAGCGTGCAATGTAGAAATACACTGCATTTTCATCCAAGGAGATTTTAAATTGTATGCATTGCTTTAAAATCTACCTTCATTAGAGGTGTCATGGTCGAGTGGATACGTCACCAAACTGTCGATCACAAGGTTCGCGGTTCGAGTCCCGCCGCGGCACTAATGTCCTTTGGCAAGACATTGATCTACATGTACATTTGCCACACTCCACCCAGGTGATGTAAATGGGTACCTGGCAGGAATTAATTCCTTGAAATGCTAGAGCGCCATAATGGCCGCCCTTGGTAAAGCCAGGGAAATAATCAGGAGTGTCACGACGTGGCGGACATGTGCGTTTTATAAGAAGCCATTATTATAATTATTATTATCATGCATCATTTCAGGTTCTTGAGGTACCCATGTTGGGCCACAGAAAGAGGATCTTAGCCTCCCTCGGGGATCGACGACGGAGTCGACACAGCAGCACCATCGACATCGAGATCAGTAGGCCACACTCGTTGGACATCGACATCACAAGTAGCGAAGACTTGGTAAGGCCACCCAAACTCAAAACCCCTTCGTCCTGTGAAAACCTTCTGTCATCTCATGATACCGCGCCCGCACTGCCACCCCGTCCAAAGATCGGTGTAAAGCCCTCAACAGGCCGCGATAACATCAAGGCTAGAGCTCAATCACTGAGAAAGGAGTTGATGAGCCCTGCTAGCTCCAAGACAAGCCAGGGAGCTATAGCACCGAGGCTGTCAACGGATCGCGGTGGTAGCTCCAAGAATAAAGATAGATCTGTTGTACCTAAGGCAGTGACTCCGGGACAGGCAAGAGAAATGAACTTCACTGACCAGATTTGGAAGCTTTATATATACTCCAGAGAAAACTAACACATTATCATTTAATGGTGCAGGCTACATGCAAGTTTTGCTGGGCAGGGTTCGTACAAACTGAAATGAATGTTTTGGAAACCTTACAGAAAAGGAAGCTAAAATCACTAAAAGCCTTCATATGAATTTACTTTTGTTCAGCATGAGATTCTAAAGAAGAATCTTGAGATACACATGTACATGTATCCTGATTCTTGCCGAACAGTAACTTAGAAACTTGAGACTTCACAATGATCTCTTAAAGTATGAATTTTCCTTGAAATATATCCTTTGGCCAGTCGCAATTAACAAGAAATTATATCATGAATTATAAATTGCTCCTATTTGTGATGGATTACACTTTTCCAAGAAATGAGCATTATGGCAGTTCCAATTTAGTATTAGGGACTCCCAATGAATCATCGTAATTGCGAGTACCTGACATTCTATTGCTCGGCATATAGAAACTTTATGCCATGGAAACTAGAAAATTGGGAAATCAAGTTTAGAAAGTTTGTATGACCCCTGTTTGCTGTATCACTTGCGTAACAAAGACTTTAGAACAAGTAGTTGACAGACACTTAGATTAACAACATTAACTCATCCTTTTCACATTACACATAGAGTTCAACTCATAATTCTGCCACTTTTGTCTACCGGTACATACACAAACGGTCATTGTACACATAATTTCAATAATGCACCCATGGTTAAAGCAGTTTCCGTCTTGGACTGTTATCATAAAATTTAATTTTCTAATCTATTGAGTGCTGTTGTAGCAGGGTTACCAATGAGCCAGGGCTGGATCCAGGATTTTTTTTTTTGGGGGGGGGGGGGGCACAATTTCAAAAATTTCTGACAACATAAAAGAAAAATATCACAAGTTTAAGATGCTTATTTTTCAACATGCATCATCTGTCAAATTGAAAAGGAAACCTGAAAATATACTGAAAGAAACATGTCCACTTTGACATCAATTGAGTTTGATTCAAATAAGAAGATTGACACAAACATCATAATGAATAACATGTACACTTAGGTCTTTCCGTTGGTCTTATAAATACATAACTTTAGAAAGAAACGATGAAATGAAAAGATGGTGGATGGAGTGGAGGTAGTGGATAATAAATATATTTTAAATGGTAAACTAAACAATTGTAAGACTGCCATGTTGTGACTACTAACAGCTCATCGAGAATCTGCTTTGAAAGAGATACGTCGGTGCTTGCGCCAGCATTTGCCTTAATGCTTGTCTGCGAGCTTATCATTGCTGCCTGCAGAGGTTGTGCCACAGATGTTTTTTGCAGTAGATGTAGAAGCAATCTCTTTTTTTAAAATATACAGGGTAAGAGAGTTCACACCATCAAGCTTTTCAGAAGCTTATGTCTCCTGTAGAGGTACATGAAGCTACATGTAGACTTCTTGAATGAATGTAAACATGCTTTTTCTTGTACATACATATATGTGCAGAGTAAAGCTTTCGAGTCCAAAGGAAAAGGCGTTAACAAAAACTTACAAATCCCTCTTTTGTGTTAATATGATTCATACATGTGGTGTATAGTGCTTTTATCTGCATTATGATTAAAAACAAGTGTCAGTATCATATATACATCTATATCTCCTCTTTCTCTCTTCTCTTTCTCTTTTAATGTTATCTCATTTCTCTTACTCTCAGCCTGATGCCCCCCCTCCCAACCGATAGATAGATTATCTTTCTCTCTTCTCTTCTCTTTTCTTCTCTTTCTTTGCTTTCTTTCTCTCTCTTGCTCTCTCCCTCTTCTCTACTCTCTCCCTCTTCTCTCTCTCTACCTCTCCTCTCTCTCTTTCTATGCTTTTTTTTCTCTCTTCTCTCTCTCTCTCTCTCTCTCTTCTCTCTTTCTTGCTCCCTCCCTCTCTCCCTCTTCTCTCTCTCTCTCTCTCTCTCTCTCTCACTCTCTACCTCTCTCTCTCTTTCTCTTTCTCTAATAATGGATGTTGTTGTTCCATGCCTACAATGTGTATTGTATACATGAAGACTTGACTGGTTTGTAGGCCTGCATATCAAAATGTATCCTCTTTTACCATATTTTATTGTGTAAACTTAAAAAATCTCTGTTCATGGGCAATCTATGTTTTTTAGTATTCATTTTCTTTCTTTTCCGTATTATCTTGACTTAATCATCATCATGGTTTATGACTTTAGAATACCGTAGTTTCATTCGGGACGGGCTATTTAATTCATCATATTCCATGATTTTCTATTGATATGATTTTCTTTTGATTTCATTTCTTTGCCTTAATACCATATATGATTTTAGTTTACATTACATTTATTTTCAATCATTTATAATCATTTTCAATCATTTTAGTAATCATTGTTGATTTCTTGTCACATACATAGGAAGTGGAAATAGGAAGTGGAACTAATATTTTATTCATTGTAATGGGTTACTTATTTCAATTATGTGAATTTATGTATTTGCTAATTACAATATAGGGGATGTTTGATATTAATAGTAAATGTCTAGTTGTAGAGCTTTAAATGCTACAGTGTAGTACTAAAGGCTAATTTATGGTGGGCGTTATCTGACTGATGTTTATAGGTTTCATGTACCCCTGAGAGAATCTTCTTTCAACAAAACTTATTAACTAAAATACAGGAACCACCCAGTTCATATAGGCTCAATGCAGGAACCACCCAGTTCCCCATGCAACAGGTTAAATGAAGCTACATCATGTATTGCAGAGAATGCTTGGTGACACAAGCAGCAAGCTCATTAATACGCTGCTTTTAATGTTATCTATGTTGGTCAAAAGTTGGCTACTTTTTAACCATAACTGTTATAACAAGAAGCTTGAAGCTTTAATCGCTAGAAAATAGTTAAAGTTTAAGCCATTCATTTGGAAAGAAAATTCATTGATATTACAGGGCTTAACACAATCAGGGGTCTGGTATTTGTTAGTCCCCCAAAGTTAATTTTGTGACCCCCCCCCCCCCCCTCCCTCCACCAACCTCGCCCCCTCAAAATAAACAAATCGGAAAGGGGGCATGAAGATACTGGCCCTAACAAGTTTATTATCAAGACAATGCCTTGTTGAAAAGGTTGGTGATTATTACATATTTGCTTGTCTTTACAAAACATACCACATATATGTACTTATAATCTTTTGATAGTGATTAATTTCATGTTGAATTTTTGTCCTAACCAAATTACAGGAGTCACAGATTGAATCATTCGTTGGACCTGAAGAGAGGGCGGAAATCAAGAAACGTCACACCAGTCAATCATCGTCACTTGACATCGACCTCTTCAAAGACTATTCCAAGGATGTCGCATCCCCGACGAGAAACTCAACGTCCTCAACGATACCAGAAGAGGGAGCCCTTCACCCCTCCGAAGAGGAGGAATTCAGAACTCTTATTGAGACCACGACACAATACGCTCAGCAGAATGGAGATTGTGCGAGCTTTAAACGGACTCATGAAAGAGGGATGGTGGAAAGTAAAGTGAAAGAGGAACAGAATGGAGAGGAAAAGGAGAATGGAGGCGATGGAGTCACTCCGCAGAAGAAGCAGGGTGGTGCCCCTGCCTCACAATGGATGCACCCACCCGATGCATTGATAAAGGGCTGCTGCAATTACACATCATCTGTAAGCATATGAAATACTAGATGATTGTTTGCTACTGGCTTAGTTTGTTTGTGTGTTTGTCTACTGGTACAGTGAAACTTGCTAATTGACCACCTGCATAGAAAGACGATCTGTCTATTAAGACCACATTTTTTATTTCCCTGGAATATACTTTTTTATTGATACATGTATTACAGAAACTAGTACACAAAGACCACCTTTTGTTGTCTCCCTAGAATGGTGTCTATAGGCAGGTTTGACGGTATTAAGTAGCAGTTTTGTTATCCCCCACCATAGATAGGTTCAATTGTTATTGGTCTATTCATACATAACATTTACAAGAGCAACACAGTACGTACGTTACATGTACATTTATAGGTATGGCACTGTACATCTTACAGAAAAGGGTGAAAATTGGTACTGTAATAAAGCAGCAATTACCAAGTTTTTTTGTCACTAGAATAAAACATTGCACATTGTTGAAACAACAATCATTTGGGTTGTTTTACTCTCCCATTTTTATTAGAAGACAGAAGATTGGAAAAAAATGAATGATGGGCATGGTGGAGATTATGATAATGTAATGCAATGTACAAGCGACATGTATATCAGTATCTCAGAAAAAATAAATAACAATCTATTGAACTCTTCCCACATAAGACAATGTTTTCTATTAATCGCTCATCTTTACTCTCGCTCACACAGTACCTAGGCTCATCAATAATCAAGGAACTACACGGGACCGAATCAACAAGAGAAGCCTGCACCAGACTCCGAAGATCAGCCCAACACCTGCAGAAGATGCCAGCGATCACCCTCTCCATCAACTACGGCGGTGTCAAGTTCATCGACTCTAAATCCAAGATGGTGATCACGGAGCACGAGATCTGTAATATCTCATGCGTGGCACAGGACTCAAATGATCTCAAGACCTTTGCTTACATTACAAAGGATATCCAGTATGAGAAGCTCTATTGTCACGTCTTCACAGTCAAGACTTTGGTACGTTTACGTTAGCTTTTCTTTTTCTTAAAGTCTCAGATGTCAAAAATATGTGTTGCAAATTAAGCGTTTAAAGGCCCACTGCACTACTTGTAGCTATTTGCGCCCTCTATATAACAAACAATGCCTAATCGGTGACCATTGGTCCCCCATGATCCTCTTTTTCTTATGTTAACTGAGAGCTGAGTTGATGAGATAACCACCTGTCCAGTGACCTTGCAGGGCAGTCTAATCCCTCCTGCAAACTATGGCAGATAAGCTTTAAAGAGTTATGTCATGAGGAGTAAGAGTCAAATGACACTTTCATTCAGGGAAAAATGGGGGCCATTTTTTAAGCTTGCTTGCATGAAAATAACACTCTTTAATTTGTTTGCATTGAACTCTATGCAAATTTGGGGGCACTTTTATGTCTTTCGGGGGCTCTTTTTGGCATTTTGGGGGCGAAGTGCCCCAAGTCCCTGTGTATTTTCCCGTGCTTTCATTTGAGAAACCCTACCCCCCCCCCACACACACACACACACTCACTCTTACACCATGGTTTGTAAATAGATGTCTTCATGATATCAGAAGAGAGTACCAGTTTTCAAAAGACCGTACCTTCATTGACCCACACTTTAAAGATGAAGAAGTAGTTAGTGACGGCAAGCTGAAGGAAAAAACATACAATTCTTTAAAGCCCGTCTGTACTAGTTTGGCCAGGAGGGATTAGACCAGCCAGCGTGGTCATTGACAGGTGGCCATCTCATCAACTCAGCTCTCAATTAACATAAGAAAAATAGGATCATGGGGGACCAGAGGGCACCACTTAGGCATTGTTTTCTATATACTGGTAGAGGGAGCAAGTAGCTACAAGTAGTACAGTGGGGCATTAATGTAACTTTATTAATATATTACCAAGGTCACTTGTAGAAGAGGTCATTTTTCCATTTTTGAGAATAACTGCTATGACCCAGATAAGAATCAAAGTAATACATTGTTTATGTAAAGACTTTTGTTTCTGCTTTTATTTGCAGGATTTAGCGACAGAGATCATCATGACGCTAGGTCAGGCATTTGAGATTGCTTACAAGATGCTCCTAAAGACCCAGCAGCAACAACAACCTCCCAGAGCCAATCGCATCCAGGCCATGGCAGATGAAGATGAATCGGACACGGCCAGTTACGAGGATACAAAGTTATAGCAGCAGCTCCCCGAGAGGGCAGCAGACTGTTTTCACTAGCAACACTTTCAAAAAGCAAATAAGCAAATTAGCGTATGAAGGAATGTAGATCCTGAATTCTAAGAGGAGCTGATCTTCATCACTAGATGTACAGGTATATGTAGCACCGCCCAAATGGAGCAGTATTTACAGCAATGCAGGTATGGAGTTAGAACAGCTAACATAGAGAGCAGCAGACTATCTTCTCCGATGACACCCCTTCAGAGCCACAGGTACATGACATGTATGCAAGAATGGAGATACAAAATAGTTGTGAGGGACGCTACACTGTTATTGCATCAGATATCATAGAGGGCAGCAATCAACTCCCATCATAACGCAAAGCACATCCAGCTATGTTTATGTACAGTTTGCATGGATACAATTTCTATCAGCGTCGGTCGTTAGCCTTTGTTTCTTCACCTCATTTCTGGAAGCATCTTCCTCCAATCACTGTTTACAGGAATGATGCTCTACTTCATTGTTAACCCTTATAATACTACAACCCCCAAATCCAATAGGCTTCATACATGTACTTGAACACTTATATCTGCCTATGAGAATTACAGGGTTAAGCGGTATAAGTAATTGCAGTCTGTTTCTTTAGCTTCCTGGGATTTGTTTCTAGCCATTACTCTCCCGTTGTCTGGCCAGGGTCCAAGAACTCTCTTTCTCTATCTCTCTCTATCTCTCTCTCTCGCTATTCGATTTGATGTTTTATTTGTCTTTAATAGAGATTTTTGTAATGTGCTTCACAGTTGGGTTCTAAGTGATGTATCGTTATATCATGCTGCAAAGGATATCATATGGAGCAAAGAAGACTGTCACATTCAATGTATATGAAATTGCATCAGAAGATGGTCTGTATATGAGAGAAATTGACCCATTTCATATTCCACACAAAATTTACTTTTAGATTGTAGTATTCAGCTATAAGTACATCCAACTTTAGTAGAATATGCAAAATGCTCTCAGAGTGAGAGTTGTTCATGTGTAAAGCATCACTAGCCATTAGTACTTAAAATAATACTTAAGATAGATTCACTTCATTCAATTACATCATCATCAGTTTTAATACAGAATCAATGATGCAAACGTTCAACCATGACCGTACATGTTCATGACTGTGATTGTGCTCTTACAACTGGTGGCAGTGGTGGGATTTCAACTCACCCCATTGATTGACTGATGCCTAATGTTTCTATGTATGCTTGTAAATCAATTTAAACATCTCTTTCCTTCAACTTTTCAAGTTCTCTTCTCACCTTTTCTTTCTTTGTTTCCCTGAATTGTGTCGAACAGTCCTGCCTCTCTTCTTAATGTTCTCAATCATCCAAATACATTATCTACAGGAACTAGGTGTTTCCTGTATTAAGCCTATGGAAATTAAAGAATTCAGAAGTCAACGGAATAATCCATTATGCTCTCTCTGTCGCTCATCCTCCTTTGTTCCTTTCTTCTTATTTCTTATCTCTCTCACATATATTTATTTATGTATATTACCCTTTATATCTGTATTTTTGCACATAATATTCTGCTTTCTTCGTGTCAATGCTCACTCTTTCCCATTTCTACTCTCTCTTTTCCATCCCTCCTTCTCTCTCTCTCTTACATCCCACATTCTCTCTCTTCCAGTCCTCCTTTCTCTCTCTCCTCCAATCCCTCCTTCTCTCTCTGCTCCATTCCACCTTCTCTCTCTCCTCCATCCCTCCTATTCTCCTGTATTTCCCCATCCCACCTCAGGAGTCGGTTAGTCATTGGTTCTGTTCTATAATGCATGGACTGCTAGTCAGTTTATTTTATGTTTTAGCACTGAGCTTTAGAAATACTCCTTTTATTATGAAGATGTTATTTCCTGAACTCTTTTTGTTAGGTACAATATACCTAAACATAGAGTGGTACAGTGTACCACAATATATCTAGCTATTCACTGGTGCAAGTCTATATATTTTTATATATGTAATTTATTTTATATCTCTATGAAAAACTTAATTGCCATTTGTTACTAACGCTTATTTGATTATGTGATGAAATAAGATTAAATGTACTTAACAAATAATGATGTACATGTATGTATAACCATCTGTAGCTTTGGTTAACATCCTAAGACTAAATGGTTTTATGAAATGTTTAATGCCAGCCGTTTATATTGTATCAAGATGACTATGTACCTATTAAAAGAAGATTTATTATTGTATATGTCAGTAAGGGTGATATCATTAGGCCTGTTTTCATCAAACCGAAGTTGCAAAATAATATTCAGACTCGGGATATTTTCCCGAAGCTCGAAATTGCGTTTTCATCAGACTGATACATTGATCACAAACTAGCTTGCACAAGTGGAAATCCTATTTCCCAAATAGCGGGCTATTTTGGAAACAAGACCAAGATTTCTCGGGATATTTTCTTGACCAAATAGCCCGCTAATTGCAACTGCGGACTGATGAAGATGCAAATTAGCTGGCGAATTTGAGACGGGGCTAGTTAAAATAGCGGGATTATTTTGAAAGTTTGGTCTAATGTAAACAAGCCTCATGTCTCGTTTCACATCCCAAACAGACTTGTAATGGCTCCTAGATGTAATCTTATGAAAGTATTATATACATGACAGGGTTAGTATGAATGAATAACAAATTTACAACCTACTGAATATAAGTGAAAGGTAATGTACAGTGAAGTACCTTGTGTGAACAATATTTGTAGTACATTGTTTTATTCATAATTCACCCATCTGTCTCCAGTTATTATCAAAATATACATTTGGTGATGAAAGCACTAATTCTAATAAATTTTGTCACCTTTTCACCAGGGAAATTTATACATAGTTTTGTGATTTTTAACAACATTCAATGTTAGTATCAAAACTGATTGGTCAGAATTTCTGGTATCTTTGGTCTAAATGTACACATCTTTTTTCTGCAAGTATGAGCTTTTACACAAAAGGCACTTGTAAGTAAATTTGCAAATTCAACTCATTGTTTTATCCTTTGAAATAGTCTGAATACACCCAAACTGCACGATTCATGCTTAGTGTTTTGAAATCTTCATAATGACCACATATTTCATGTTACACTTCTTGTACTGTACCTGTTACATATTCACACGACCCAGATTGCTTGTAGAGGTGATGTGGTCAAGTCGATACGTCGACGTAGGTGTTAAATGGGTACCCAGTAGGATGCCAACATTACTGTTACTTGGATTGGCATGTGTGCGTTTGTAAAATGGTGCCTGACCAGAATACTCCCCATGTACACTATGATACCAATGACCAGAGTAATGATAATTACAATGTGAAGCGCTTAAAAACGTAGTATTAAATGCTATATTGTACAGACGACTGGGAAGTGTAAGAACTAAAACAACTATTTTACATGTGCAGGTACATGTATTCGTTGTGTAACTCATACGTCCTGTAATGATGGTAATTCATATGGATCAGTCATAATGTATTGCAAGTTATTTTGTATGTATCGCAATGCAATGTATATTGATAAGCACCGTATATCTTTCTACTGTACAGAATAGCTTTATTCTATCAAAAAATAAATAGATAAGTGTACATGTAATGGCTTTTAGCATGTGTTGAGTCTATCCTCCAGCATCGTACTATATATGTGACCTGTTGTAAATGAATACTAAGATCTAAAGAGTATCTGTTTGCGTTCTTTCATCTTTTTTCTTATAATGATATTGTCTTGTAATTTTTGTCGATTGCATTCTTTCCTGTTCGTCATTTCACTGCTAGACCCATCCTTAAAGTACCTCCTCTATAGATTATTAGGTCATCGTTTCACACAATCATCATACGACACAAAATATCAGCTGTGGTATTGTTATATACCCTAGGAGATAAGGGCATTAAATCAAAAGTATTGATGGGGAAGGTTAGAATAGCTTATTTTGGGTAAAAACACTGCGCTATTCTGGCAAAACGATCTTACATGTATGTATGTATGTATGTACCTACTCACAATGTTTTGTTCATTTTAGCCACTTTTTGGCCAAAACTAAGCGTTATAGTTACTTTAGCTCTGGGGTAATGTTTCCAATCGTTATTATCAGCAAAAGAGATTTGATGTTAAAACAATCAATCAATCTCACTGAATGAATTTACACAGTACAGACCAATTCGGTCACTTTGATCGATAGCTAGCGTTATGGTGCGCTGCGCTGGTAGAAGAATAGGTCTCTCGCGGCTTAACCATGGGGGCGCCGTTAATTATGAATCAACCCTATTATATGTCTGCGGAACCTTGTAGTTGAAGAGGGCTTAACCACTTGACTGCTCACCACCTACATGTACGTGTTCTCGCTCTTGCATGTCTGTGCGCACCACGTACATGTACGTGCTTAGTGCATTGCATTTTCAAGACCGTAGCACTGCATAAGGCCTACCCCTACTGTGTAATTAGCACTGCAATGATGTTATACAGGTCTCGAACAGTAGATGGCGCTCTTCTAGAAAAAGACCGACTTTTGTGTGTACAGTGTACATTTTTTGTTAAGTTTTTGTACAGTACAAAAATGCTGTAGCACAGGCAGTATGAACGTGTTTAAAGCCATTAGCAGTCAAGTGGTTAATGAAATGCTGCAATGAGAGTCAGAAAGGCTTTAAATTTAAAGCCCCACTGCACTACTTATAGCTACTTGCGCCCTCTATATAGCAAACAATGCGTAATCGGTGACCATTGGTCCCCCATGATTCTCTTTTTCTTTTGTTAATTGAGAGCTGATTTGATGAGGTAACCACCTGCCAGTGACCATGCAGGGAGGTCTAATCCCTCCTGGCCAAACTCGTGTAGTGGGCCTCAAGTTTGCTCCCTATCCTTTTGTTTTTATCATACCCATGATTTTATTTTTTTTTTCTTCCGTCCTTTATTTTGTCAGCGTTCTTCCTGTTTGCTGGCTTCAGCAACATTTTATTATCATGGAGCAGGTGGGATTTCTTTAATGATATTATTTATTTATATTATTTCTAACAGTTATTATCGTTGTTATAAATGTGAGCAGTTTGTTGTGTGTGGTAATGAGAATGCTTTGCACTGCACAATTCATCTACATGTATCTTATTATATTGGCTTTTTGTCTTTTATTGCCACTATCATCATCAGCCACTCATCAAGTTCTTATATTATTGGGATTATTATTGGTGCCATTACTGCTATTATCATGGACAGTGTAGCATCATTTTCAAA